TCGTTTTGTGCAAGGGTGGCGCAAGATTATTGCAAAATTTCATGTTTTCCGTCCCGTTTTGCATGTTTCTCGGAAGCAAAATGAGCAAGAACGCTGGTTTTTACATCATTCCAGAGATAAATAAACGGCCTTTATTCGAAGTTTCTCAAGAACCATTCGAGCCACAGAATTCGTTTTGGCATCGTTGGATAGAGAATTGAAAACTCGAATCTGTCGTAACAACGTGAGTGAGGAAATTCGAATAGTTTTGGCCCAGAAAGCAAAATTTAAATATCAAAGACTTAGGTTCAAGATTATGCCACAATTTCATGTTTTCCGGCCCGTTTTTGCACATATCTCGGAGGCAAAATGAGCAAGAACGCTCATTTGTACATCATTCTAGACAGAAATAAATGGCCTTTTTAGAAAGTGAATCATGGATGGGGAAATGTTGGCAGTTTTCTCAAAAAATGCTTGAATTCAAGAAGTTTTAGATTTGCGTGGTTTTTTTTGAGTTGCAAAATCCACTTGAACATGATGCTGCTTTTTTCGAAGTTTCTCAAGAACTATTCGAGCCACAGAATTCGTTTTGGCATCGCTGGATATAGAATTGAAAAGTCGAAAGGGCAATTATTGCAAACATGGAAAATGTGGTTTGAATGCTAAAACAAGGTAGGCTTAATAATTCTCAAAAGAGTATTTTACCTGTTGGGCTGGGGGCAAATCTGACTCTAATTTCGCAAGTCCCATGGAGCCTCGAAACTGCCTTACTGCATCCTCTTCGATACTGGTGCCTAAGCAGGCTAGATAGCTTCAAAATCATATTAAAAAATTGGCTTTGGATATGTTCAACGCGTCCACTTTAGATCACTTTTCATTTTTAATGTATTCTATTAAAAAGTACCCGTAAAATGCCCCACTTTCGAAGTCCTCTTTAGTGTACAGTTCGCTTGACAGCTGGTTTGTGTTTATGCACTGTTTTGAGGTTAACTGGAAGAAACTGCTGCGAATCTGCAACAAAATAGCAGAATTATTAGTCAAATGTTTTATTTTCATTAATAAATTATTAGTTAGTCATTTTTTCCTTAAAATGGTAAGTAGGGCTGCAGTGCAAGGCGCAAATTTGGGCCCCAAATCGCCTGGCCTTTGTGATTGTCACAAGTGATAGATTTCCTAACCGTACAGTTTGCAAAATGGGACTTTTTTCAGCATAAACTGAAGTCCTCGCAAAGAGACAAGGTGAAAAAGTTCATTTCGTTCACGCAAACAGGCGAGAGCACCGCAATTTACTGTCTAACCCAGAATGACTGGAAGCTGGACCTGGCTAGCGACAACTACTTCCAAAATCCAGACGCGTACTACAAGGAGACTCGAAGCATAGACAAAAAGAAACTAGAAATCCTGTACATTAGGTATAAAGACCCGAACGAGCCAGATAAGATCTCAGTGGACGGAATAATGAAATTTCTTGATGATTTAGGATTACCCCCTGAGTCCAAGCTAGTGCTCATTGTTGCCTGGAAATTCAAGGCAGCCACTCAATGCGAATTTTCCAGGGACGAATTTATCAATGGCATGACCGATTTGGGCTGCGATACCATCGATAAACTCAAACAGAGATTGCCTAGCATGGAAAACGAATTGCGCGACGCTTTCAAATTCAAAGATTTCTATCAGTTCACGTTTAACTTTGCCAAAAATCCCAACCAGAAGGGCATAGATCTGGACATGGCTATTGCCTACTGGAACATTGTGCTAAAGGGCAGGTTCAAGTTTCTGGAATTGTGGTGCACATTTCTACAGGTAAGCGTTTCTAGCTTGCCGCTCCTTTCAACGACATCTTCAATTAAGATCTTGTTATTTTACAGGAAAACCACAAACGATCCATACCAAAAGATACGTGGAACCTGCTGCTGGACTTTGCGCAACAAATCTCCGATGACATGAGCAACTATGACGAAGAAGGAGCCTGGCCGGTGCTGATTGACGATTTCGTCGAATGGGCATCATCCAAATCGAAAGAGAACCAGCCTCACAGCACGAGTCACCTCGAATAACAGTGACTGAGAGCTCGTTTCCAGGTCTTTCCGTTAAAGATGCATTCGCTATTGTGTACATAATATTAAAGAGGCCGCGTGAGTAGACGATTAATGATGCTCCGAGTAGATTCTGGAAGCGACCCGGAGCAAGAGTGGTGTGAGTGCGGCAATAGTGATCAGCGACCAATTCGCAGAACCCTTTCGTGTATTGAGTTTAATATATTTTATGTATATAGTGCGTTGAGAATGGGCGTCTCACTGGAAATTATCAATGTGGTTTCAATCGGCTATTACCAGTACAGGGTGCCCAAAAGTTTAAATTCGTTCGCAACGTTTAGGAACAAGCCGCAAATGTTCAACTGATACCCAAAGTCGCACAACTTTCACCAATAATGACTTGAGTTTGGATACCTTGTATTTATGTAAACCATCTTTAAGATAATTATAAGAAATTGTTCAAAAAAAGCTCTCCGTCTGCTGGAGTAGATGAAATTAAAAAATGTATTGGCAGTGAAAGTGAATATTTAAGGTGTAATGTAGTGAAGGTTGCCCATCGTATCTCTGTATTAACTCTAGATTATTCACTTGCATTCATTTCTAACAACGAAAGTACAAAAAACCCATTTTGGACGTTTTGGCAACATGGTGCAATATTCTAAAACGTGTTTTTATTATTAATCGAGTAATATTGTGGACATTTGGCTTATCCAGCATTAAACTAGCTGCACTTAAACGAGTTTAATTGTTCAGATTTTCTCTACTGGAAATGTTCGTTCTCATTTACTTCGTGGTGGGTTTCTACTTAAAATGTACCAATAAATAAGGCAGGAATGTTGGCAAAAATCGCTATTTTTTGGTCTGTTTGAAGTGCAAAAATGACAATTCGTACAGCTTGGGATCGGAGTTGTAGCATTTCCTCACCACTTCTTTGAACCAGAAACACAGATGGCCCAGCTGGTCTCGGTTTGCGATGGCAACGAAAGCGCCCTGTTCCACAGAGTGTTGATGAGAATCGACAAGACTAATCTAAAAATATTGAAGAATCTACATTTATGAAAATCTGGGTCAATTTTCCCCAAGAAGAAATTCTTGATTTGTTGAATTCCAAAGATGGCACATTGCTTTTTTGCAGATTCGTAAAAGCATTCTGCTTCAGACTAAACAAGCATTTTAGCACAAAGGCTTGCAAAACTTGAAAAGTATTTTTGTGCGACGATCTGCTCACAGTATCTGTTTTGGTCTGGAAAAGAAACAGCACCGTCCTGGAATCGGCAATAAGTACCACGTACAAGTCTTCGTTGGGTTCTTTGTTCAACTTCAACCACTCTTTGTAGTTGCTCCGGATATTTTCGCACAGAGACCTCGAAAGACGCTCCATGTAAATCGAACTTTTCTACAACAACGTAAACCATCACGACCACACCCTGACGACTGCTGCCCAGTGAATGAAGCTGCAACGACGTTTTACCCACTCCACCAAATTATACGTCTCCTCCTGCGTGTACTTCAGGGCTTCCGGCACGTTCAAGTTCAGGTCCTTCAGCACCTTCTTCTTCTTCAGCTCTTCGTGGATTTTGTTGCCCTCAAGCATGCTGATGGCCAGCAAGTGGATCAGTCTGATGTTCAGGTTCTCTTGCGGATATTTGATCTGCAACAGCTCAGAATTGCGAACCAGAGCTCTTGGCGCTGCTGAACGTCCACTCACGACAACGTTGTAGTCGTGGCACTTGGAAGCCATCAGAATGGCAATCAGAGTGCACGCGTTGCTCCCACTGGTCCGGTTGTGGACGTTGTAGTGACTTTGGGAGAATTTCGGCTCGAACCACGTCACCCGGATGGCGCCTCCGCCAACGTGCTCGGTTTCGAATTGGGGAAAAAAGGGCAGCTCGACGTTTCTAGAGGACATGCTGGACACATGGGTGGGCAATTTGGGACGCGGACGGTTTTTGTGACATTTCCCGATGGGCGACACTGGGAAAATGTGCCATGGAATGTCGTTGGAAAAGGCACCTGAATAGATCGGGTGCACCTGTAGGCGGGTATTAGTCAAGGTCGGATACAG